GTTGACGATCCACCCCCTGGCCGGGTAGATCTGGGGCTGGCCGTCCAGCATCTGCTTGAGGGCGTACTTGCAGCCGAGGAACAAGCCCTTGGCGTTGATGGCCATGGTCCTGTCGTAGTCCTCCTCGCTGGTCTCGTGGCAACGCAGGGCGCGGACGTGGGTGCTCTCGACGCTCACGCCCGCGTTGTTCACCATGATGTCCACCCTCTTGTACCGCTGCACGCACGCCCGGATAGCCAGTTCCACGTCCCGCCCCCGCGTCACGTCGGCCTTGTGGTACGTGGCCTCGCCGCCCATGTGGCGGATGCGCTCATGCGTCCCTGGCTGACCCGTGACGCGATTGTGGAAGTCATCGGCGCGTTGGGTCGAGGGGTTGATGGCGTTCCGCGGCGTCGGGTACAGGTCAATGCAGAAGACCGAAGCGCCCTCGGCGGCGAGGGCGAGGCAGATGGCCTGTCCAAGTCCAGAGCTGGAGCCGGTAACGATGGCCACACGGCCCTGCAGGCGGCCTGATGGGGAGGTCATGGAGCTAGAGACCCGCACATGAGGGAACCAGAGGGACTGTGAGGGGAAAAAAAGGGATAGAAACGAGAGTAGGACAGAAAACTTTAGCACTCACTCACTGGTATCGGGTATCGACCACAGCACGGACAAAGTAGTTTTATGATATCACGGACGATCGTCAAGCGAGAGAGTTCTCCTTAAGGCGGGCTGGTGGGCTGGCAATTGCCCAGCTCAGCTTCGGAGTTCCATGCATTGCATCTCGATAACGCACAAGACACACACGGTACATGAGGCTGAACACGGGAAGCAGACATGAGATGATAGGTTGGTGGATGGGTTCAAGACGGCGGAGAATGGAGTGATACGAAGATGCGCGCTGGAGGCTTTTGGCTGGTCCCATCGATGCTGACTATTACGTGACGACTGGTTGACCTTGTACGAGGTACCTCGTACTCCTCATGGTTCGGAAACATCCCCTCAACTCCCTTCCAACCGGCTAAGCTGCCTATCCAAGTATGCTACGGTCAAGGTTGAGGCTCAATAATGCTGCAGAGTACCTCGTAGCTTCTCAAGCTGCCCTCGTCACCATAGTCTTTGCTGATACTTCGCATACAGCAAGACAGCCCTGATTCTTTGCGGTCGATCATGTAAGCGATGCTTGTGTGCCGCCAGCTGAGGCGGCTGTATCCCCGTACAGCATCGGGACACGAGACCACGCCATTCATCAAGACACTTTCCACCTCCTTCAGCACCTTCAGCAGCCGAGCTCACAAGTCGAGCAACCACCTTCCACCGCGCCCGACCTTACCTGACGCCGACATCAAACACACCTATGTCAAAGGCACTGGACCTGGGGGCCAGAAGATCAACAAGACCAATTCGGCCGCTCAATTGACACACATTCCAACTGGCATTGTGGTAAAATGTCAAGCCACCCGCAGCAGAAGTCAAAACCACAACATTGCCAAGAGAATTCTCGCAGAGAAGGTCGAGTTGTTGCAAAAGGGTGAGGACAGCAGGGCAGCCAAAGTGGTGGAGCACAAGCAGCGCAAGAAGAGGAGCGCCGACAAGAAGAAGCGCAGGAAGTACCGACGGCTGGCAGAGGAGAAGCTGGGTGATCAGGAGGAAGAATGCACCGAAGACAGAGACGATGGATCAGATGAGGAGGGTCTGGGTGACGAACCTGAGGGTCGAGCGCCATTGCATCAACCAGAGACCAGTGAAAGGCCAAGAGGATGAGCGATACAACAAGTTCAGTCACTACTCAATCTATTCCTCTTTCCGTCCCGTGGCACTCAGCCTGTCTTGGCGGGTTTCTCAGCCTCGCGCACTCGCACATACACCCTCAGCCTTGTGTTCGAAAGCACACAGATCACTTTTTGTTTACAAAAAACAAAAAGGACATCGCCTCCCCAAAATGCAAAAACTCTAACCCGAAGCCCAACTCCCCGGTGGGAGTTGAGGTTCAGGTCGAGGGAAACCTTCCAGTTGTATAGGAGGGTTTTTTACCGTCGTTTCGTCAGGTTCTCTCCGGCCTCGAACAACCCACGCTCAGGGAAGCCGTTTTTGGACGCGGAACCCCCAGTTAAGCAGTGTTAACTGGGCTACCTCGATGGGTAGCTTACAGGGTCAGGGCAGTTACCTTCTAGGATTCTCGTAACTCCCAAGAGAAGCTGTCTCATGCCTGGTGGCCACACCCTCACGCCCTGACTAGCTCGTTTGGCTAACAATCGGTGTTAGCCATCAGAGGTCAGAACCCGGGATAGACATAAGAATTATGACAGGAAACTGCGGTTTTGAAACATATGTGATTAATTCTGCGGATCTGCCAGACCAGCCACTTGGTACTGGACCCACGATCACGGGTCAAGGCACTCGGTGAATGAATGCTGCAGAGAACTTCACCTTCTCTCCCTACAGGCAATCTCTCCCTCCAATTGACACATCAACCGGACACCATGGGGACACATTCCATTGCAAAGAGCAAGATGTTTGGCTCGCACCTCATCAAGGTTGGTCTATTGTGCCTGTTCGTATTCTCTCCTCTGTTGATCCTCTGTCTCGTCCATGTATTCGCCATACCTGTCTCGCCCTCATTCACAGTTTCCAGCATTGATACCTGGGTCTCTCTCAAGCAGCTGCTGCGGAAACTGATGGAGAAGGAACATGTCTTCATCCCCGCCAGTTCTCCTCACATGCACGTAGGGCCACACTGTCACTCCTTCTCCTGACCCCTGAAGACTGAACGCGCTTGATAGTATGTTGGACGGTGGATGCCCACTGCAAACCAACTCCGTCGGGATGCGGCATTTCCAGGTTAGTCGGGGAGCCAACGGACAGAACGTTCAAACTCCTCACTAACTATGCGAGCAGGCTCGTATGTCGAGATGGTGATTGCAAACACTACCGGCCTTTCCCTCTCTCTCAACAATCTCAACTCCGCCTCCAAACAACAGCCGGAGCGTTTGGAAGCAAGGGACATCCACCACTCCGAATTTCGATCCATCGGTGCCAGAGCCTCAGACCCCGTAAACCTCGTGGTGTCGGTCGAAGGCCACAATACCTATTGGGTCGAAGCGGCGGGGATGGTGGTCTCGGTTACAAAGCATCTTGATCAGCAAAAGACGTACAGAGTCAAGCTCACACACATGGGAGGTCCACATGGCACCAATGGAGCACTCGAGTTTGAAGGAATTTGGCTCGACAAAGCCGCGCCCGCAGAGGCCAGCACAGTGTCGTCAACCTTGACGGAGATCTCTTCGCTACCGAGACTTCTCCCCCTTCGTGAAGACCACCTCGACAAAACCTCATTGAATGGAGAATATATGCGCCGACGATCGAGAAAGGTGGTCGAGATAGTCACGTCAGATGGTTCTCTCTCACTCATGAATCACCTGCCGCCGATAAGTGGGAGTGATGTGGACAAAGGAGTAGACAACTGGTACAAAGGGTTCGATGCAGTCGTCTTAGACACGGGGAGAATCGGCTTGCTGCCAACAGGAGAGTCGGGATTGACCCTCAGAGATCAATTCTTCCGTGCTGGCCCTCTGGGAACAAAGGCATTTTCGCGTCCTTGGAGTTTCAAGCTGTATCGTCCTTCAGTGCTCCTCCTCCAGCTCGGCTCTGTGGATTTCGGCGCATTCTTCTCTTCAGTTGCCACCGAGAAACCCGTCAGCAAGCATGCTCTGGCCAAGTTCACCAACGAGTTCATCGAGGTCTACATCAATTTGATCCAAGCGATCCGCGCCAACGCGTATCCATTCAATCCTGCGGCAACAGGGTCAACCAGCGACTTGGAGGACGACGACAACGACGGCAGCTACATCTACAACTCGGCACCATCTACACTCTCCATCTTCCTCCTCACGCCATTCTCTGCACTGCGGTACCCGATCACCAAGAAACTCAAGCTTGACCGGGTCATCTCTTATGCCGTCGCGCAGGTCGTTTCAACGCTACAAAGCCAAGGGGACAAATCGACATTCTGGATCGACACGAGCGGGTGGCTCGACGTGGCGACGGACTTCGACAGTGACCTGGCCAGTTCGAACTCGTCCGAGCAGTTATCATCACCACCATCATCGTCTGTGCTCAACCGATCCGGAATGATCAAGGTCACGACCCTGCTCGCAGACCACCTCTGCCCGTACATTGGGCCCAGCTCAGCCACAGGATCGAGCGCGACCGAGGACCCATGCCCCTTTGACAAGTACGACAACTATCTCGGCAACGTCTATCTGCCCACGGACGTCGACTTTGACAGAGCCCTCCTGGAGCACAAGATTGAATTGATCAAGCAACGTTTCAACCTGTAGGCAAACGACACGGGGAACGCCGGGACGCGGGACCGGTTGGCTAGGGGAATCTTCAGGGCCCTCGTGCGGACCTGGCCATCTTACAAAGACAATAAATGGGGGAGTTAAGGCACGGTTTCTTTATAAAACATGGATCACTCTGCCTAGTGCCGAGTGCCCACCAGTGCAGCCCATTTCGTCTCCACGTCGAGCGTCGACTTGCAGGCTATCATACCCCTTACTTCCAGATTGAGGACTCTGCTTCGTACGAGCTGACCGGGCTTATCCACGAAGCTAGCGCTGGTGACACCACAGCACAGCCCAACGGTAGACCAAGGAGAGAGACAGCACCGTGTCTGCACAGAATGCTATATGCGAGATGCGGGATGCAGCATGCGGGATTGAGAGGATGTCATTTGTTGATCGATAGCATGGCATAGCATAGCAAAAATGCTCGCCGCTTCCATTCGCAGGTACATTGACTCATGAAAAGAAAATAGAAATATATATATTTCCGCAAAATGCCCATCCAACCCATCGTGAGCAACCGTGCGTTACACCCATTTTTCACTTCCCTCGTTTTTAACTCGCAGAGAGAATACGAGGGATTCAGAAAAGTCCCTAGCGAAGCAAAGCGAGGCAATTGATCCCTAAACTCCGAACAAAACGTTATACGAGTACATCTCAGAAGCGCGCAGGGCTTCAATCTTTCAGCCCACTCGGCCTCGTTGCCCTTTCCGTGTCCCTGGTGGCGTCCTCGCCTTCTAACGTGACGATCTTCCGGCTGAGCAGGAGGCGCAGCTCCGGTGTGATGACTCTCTCTTTGGCTTCTTCAACTTCTTTTCCTTTTGCAGGTCCGCGTCTGGCTGGACTGGAAGGTGGGTTTCGGCCCTGTGTTGGCGGCCGCGTAGATGGGCTCGGTGCGGTGCCGGTACCACTACCTGACGCTGTGGCGGCTGAATCCCTCTGCTGCTCCCCAGCACCTGTAGCTTGGCCTGGTTTCCTCTGTCGCAGGTCCGCTTCGCGTTGACCGGCATTTGGGAGCGGAAAGGTGTCTTTCCGATCAATGGTCTCGACCGTCTTCTCGAATCTCTTGAATAGCCCCTCGGCTCTCCATAGGATATCTTGAAGCTCAATCGTCCCGCTCAACTCATTGATGTATTTCAGCACTTCGTCAAAGTGCTTCAGATGGTCCATGATTACATCCCGGTGCTTTTCAAGGATCGCCATCGCAATGAAAAGGTGGAATTGAGACGAATAATAGTCGGTCCACAGCGACTCCCAAAGCCTTAGCGTGTCGGACCACTCAAACTCTCTCTTGAACCAAACAAGCAGCATTCTAAAGAAGAAGAAAAAGTTTGTGGAGTCGGCCGATTGAAGATGGAGGTATAATTTCGGATCGAGAAGTTGGACTAGTTGGTCGAGGGTGTTGAGTTGGGCGCGCATTCCCACCTGTGAGCGGACAAAGTTGCGTGACATCCGGCGCATGAATTGCACAAAGGCCCAGAATGCCACGGCATCGTCTTGAAAGACGGCGTAAAGAGGTGAGAGGAGATCGGACATGCCTTGGACATAACCCAGGTTCTGGGGGTGTGGATTTTGGGTCTGGTAGCGCCGTGGCTGCGAAGAGGAAGAGGGCTGTTGAGAGCTGGAGGTCGTGGTGGAGGGAGGCGTGTCGTATTCCAGATAGGTCAGAAGCATATCTTTTAGTTGCTCCATGTGGACATTTGTGCCAGGTCCATTGGGATTGAAGAAGGGCGAGGTTGGGTCTGGGTGAGGGATATCTTCACCTGCGAAGAGGGGGATGTGACGATCGGTACGGTGCACATCCTTTTCTACATGTCGCGCGGCCAGGTCAGTTGGGATCGTAAGTAGGAAGAAACAAGGACTTGGGCAGTATTCAGACTTACCAATTCGGACTTTCTGCTCCTTCCACCATTCCTCCTGTTCGGGAGTTGCGTCGCCGTCGATCATTCTATCCCACCAAGCACCTTTCAGTTGAATGTATTCGTCTCGTTTCCTGTTCATGAGAGTATGCCGCTCCTCCTCTGTACTGTCCCACTCGTACAGGCCCAGTAGAAAAGGCCATGCCTCTTTGCGTACACCATCCTCAGCATCGAGGCCGCCGTGGAAGATGCGTTCCTTGACCTCGTCCATCATGACTTGCAACTTGCCTTTCGAATCGAAAAAGGAGGTCCACTCTTTCATGTCGACCGGGCGTCTCTTGCTGTCAGCCAAGGTCATTCGAGCAGCCTCCATGTCCAAAATTTCGAAATCTCCCACGCTGGTTTCTTCGGAGTCCAGCACATCTCGGGCAGTCCATATTCTCTGCCTCTTCTCTCGCTCGCTCTGTTCTGCAATGCTCATAGCCCATCGTGCCAGGTATAACTTTGCGCTGTCAAACTCATCCTGTAGGGTCTGAATCTCGGGGTTCTGAATGAGCCGCCGCACTTGAGGAGGGAGGTTCTTGTTGTTAGCAAGATCCTCGGCGGTTCGTCGAGTAAACGTAGTGACTTTGGACAGTTGTTCCAGGATCTTCCATCGAGTTTCTTTGAGTGCCTTTGTGAAAGGATCCATCCCTGGGCCTGATGGTTTCTTCTGCTCAGGCTTCTTGGATGTTGATGCTTCACTCTTTCGTCTTGTTTTTTCGAGCGATTTGCGGCTTTGGCCAAAGCCAACACGATCTTCTTCAGATGGGTCGATGAGGTATATCGATGGCTCCGCCGTGCTCCTTTCCACGGGGACGTATCTCTTCAGCCACCGGAGCACCTCGTCACCGCCCCAGAACAAGTCACCGGTTTCTCCAAACGGGTCAAATGACTCCCGTGCTCTTTTTTTCTTCTGCAATATTGTGCTTTCACATTCCGAGTCATGGAAAAACAAAGCCGGTAAGCTCGAGCCGGCGCGGGTGTTGATAACTATGCTTCCATACCACCAGCCCAGACTGGGTGGACGAACGTGAATGGAGTATATGCTGGAGAGAGGTAGGGAAAATGCATATGGTCCGACAGGAGACTCGTCGAAGGTGGTCGCGAGAGGCAGCGGAGGGACCAAGTAACTTTGTCTCGGAGGAGATTCGCCATCCTTCATGTCCACCTTGACATAGGTGCTTAGATCATCTTGTGCCAAAGAGGCCTCTGGGACCCAGGCCAAAAGATATGACGAGGCATTTGTTTTCTTCTTGGACGAGGAGTCGGAGGAGGTGGGTCGTTGATTGTCGTCGGACAGCGCAGGCGACCTTTGCTGGACCAGGGCGATGAAGCCCGGGATGTTGTCTTTGGCTGAAGGTGTCGGATGCACATAGACCTTGCTTTTGGAGAAGAGCAATTTCACGCCCTTTGTGGCCGAGGCATGGGCAATTGTGTTGTAGCCACCTTCTTCGTCGTCCGAGAGGTCGTAGAATGATGCTGAAGGCGAAGGCACTTCTGGTCGGGAGGATGACCCCGGAGTCATGATGCTTGTCTCTGGTACAATTGATTCTGGTCAGCGTGTGGTTGCATATTCCAATGCAAGGTTGGAGAGGGATGCCACGACGGCCGATGGCAAGATAAAGTGTGTTGGTATTTGGGAATGGTCAACAGGTGGCGGTGCAGTTGGTGTGGTTTGAATTCTGGATGCCTGGAGCAACAGCTGACGTCGGTGCTGGCGCATAGAGGCGGCGAGGGGGCGAGGGAGAGGGGTGGAGGGGGGACTTGAGCACGCCAACCGGGCCAGTCGGTAACCCCGCAGCCTATTTCTTAGGTGCCACTTAGATAAGAGGGAAGCCCAGATAGATGTCGTCATTGCTAGAGCTTCCCTAGCACGCCTAGTCAGCACTTCCACGCACACAATTAGAGGGACGCTGAGTGGCTGCGCCTATCCCTACAAAGTACTCGTACGAAGCGAGAGCTCAACCACATGCAGCTTGTTCTCTCCAAGTCTTGCGAAATCAAAAGAACTTTTTGCTATACAAATTACAATCCATAAAATGAAAGTCATACAGGTGAGGGAGCACTCGCAGGGTACATCTTCACCATTCCCGGCCTTGTGCCCAACACACATTGACTGTCCCATCCTTTTGTTCCCATCAAACACCATGCTTGCGATTCCGCCCTTTGCCATTTTCCTGTCATGACTCGCACAATTCATTAGATGGTCCAAGAACTAAAGTCTAGCTGGGAAGCTAGAGCGCCGTCCCTCTCCCGTGGTACTGGGGTCCTCCTTCCATTTGATGAGGCCGACGCAATGCTGGTGCTGCTCGCGGCGGCTGAGGCAGCTGACGCTGAGTGCTTATCACCTGATTTACTCATCACGCGCTCTTTGAGTCTTTTGATCTGTTGAAACCTAGCCCTCCAAGCGCTGGGAAACTCCAGGTCATCGTCTTTGGTATTCCACGTCTGGCAAAACATGTTGGCATTCAACGCCAAGGTTCGCACAAAAGGCCCAAGCTGCGCAGCAGAGATGATCTTGGGATCGGCTGCAGGTGATATGTTTGGTAAATCGTCTCTCGTAACCACGCAAACCCAGTAAAAGCCCGGCATGAAATCCGCATCTGGGGTTTCTCGGCCACGGCAGGCAGGTCGGATGACAATGTTCACATAATTCAGTTGCGACTTGAAGTTGTTGAAGTCCCATTCGACTCCTGATCGGTTGAACACAATGTTGACGTGACAATTGCCGACGTGCGACTTCTTGGTAATACATTGGGGATCGTCTTCGAGGTCTGTTGGCATCATGACCGGGATGTGGTAAATAATCTCTTCCACTCGGTCTCGCCATGCTATGCTATGCGTGCCGTCTCGCGGGAATTCTAGGCCTTGGGGATTGAAGTTCAGTGGCGGCTCAAGTGATACCACGTACCCCAAACCATCGAGCAGACGGTCAAAGTCGGGACTCCCACTCGTGTTTGCAAGGTATTCAGACTCAGCAGTCTGCCCAGGCCCGATGTAAAGCACGCCAATCTTGTGGCTAGTAACGGTTGGAATGCGATCGAAGCTCTCAAGTGCCCGTTGAACAAAGTCATCCTGAGGTAGGAGCAGTGGTTGATCCGCTGCAGTAGTTGTAGCCGCACTGGCTACCATCTGAAGGATGATGTGCGATGGGAGAATTTCAGTTGTGGCTTCTTGGTGTCGGATTTCAGTGTGGCCCGGTCGATGGTGCGAAGGAAATGGAGCGGTTAGTGGTTGATACCTTGCATATGTGGTGCCTGAAGCCTGGCGCTTGATTATCTGCGTCTTCCCAGTATGACCTGCCGTCTGCGCCGTCACGATACTGAGACCAACCATCCACGAGGCGGATGACACTGGTCCATCCTCCGGAGCTGCAAAGTTGTGGTCTGGTGAAGTTTCTCCAAGGTCGGAGAATGCTGTCCTCTGCATCATGTCGATCAGAACCTGGCTCTGCTCGTCGATAGTCTCTTCCCCACGTGCATTCTTCCACACGAGTCTCGGGATGATCCATGGTACGTACTTCGCCCTGATATCGAGCCGAAGTGACAAGAACCAAAAGATCATGTTATGATAAGCCAATGCGGCAGCATATTGAGGTAAACCAATGTCACTCAACATGATCGCTCGATATGGTGGCCGACGAAAATTCATTCCACTGTGCCTTGACGCTGGGTTCATTCTGCCGGGAGGTGAGGTTACTGACGAATGCTGTTGCTCCCTCGTCTTCTCCAGGAACTGGATGCAGATCCCAAAGATCATTTGGATCTCGTCTGGGTTGAGGTTGGAGTGCATTGCTGGCAAGAGCGCAACCTGGATGAGAAATTCCAGGATGTGTGTGGTAAGATGAGTCTGTGTCATGTTCTTTGACATCTTATCAATCATGGTAGGATACAACGTCGCGACCGACGAAGGGATTTCAAGGCTGCAGAGGGACAGAGCATGAATACAGCCTCGTGATGTGGCTTCCCAAGCTCCGCCAATGCCGGAAAGAAAGGCTCGAACCAGGTCGTCTCCAAAACCTTTCTGGATGGCCTCGGATTTCATTGTAGCGTAAGGGATCAGCTGAACTAAGATGTTGAACAGACACAAGGCGACGTCCGACCTCTTAAGCCCAGTCGAGGCTGGTGGCTCTCGGAAAGTGTTGTTGACAATCTGTTCACACAAGACTTGCCGTAGTTTGATGACGGTTTGGATCGAGTTGAGGAAGAGGGCGATGTTGCTCAATTGAGCCGCAACGTGGACAACGGTGTAGCCGTAAGTCTCCCAATCTTGGTCAGCTTGCAGGCATCGAATGATGCTCATTAGCCATGTATCCATATCGAGTTCGGCTTGCGCCTGAGGACAGGCGTCTTTGTCGACATTAAGCCCGCCGGATACTCGTCCTGCAAAGGGATAAGAGACATTTTCGGTATCTGGGTACATCCACAACGGGTCACCAATGTCAGCTTTGGTCGATAGGCTGCTGCTGCTGGCCGAATGTCTTTGTGAAGCAGGAAAGTCGGAGTTAAATACTTCGGCCGATTCCCTCGTGCGCACAAGCGCACTGGCAATGTGTTGGCTTTCGCTTGCAGGGCTGATGTAAATGAAACCCGCATCATCAGCTCGCACTCTAAAAATGAGGCGTTTCGAGACGAGACGAGCTGGTCGGGATTTGCAGCGCGAACTGGCTGCTTCAAGCAGGACCTCAAAGGCTTTGGCAGCTGCTCTAGCATCGGTGTGAATACTGTAACAGAAAATGGTCACAAGAACCTTTGTCGCCAAAATTGCTAGATCATCGTTGAAAGCAACCCCTGCAGGACCCTCCATAATCAACGTGCGTAGTTTCTCTATCGTGCGGATGGTTGCAGCCTGATCCTTTGCAGCCTCCTTATAGTTTGAAGCCATGTAGTCCAGTGATTTGAGTAGCGTCTCGAAGACTTGGGTGTCGCGCTCAACATCAATTTGCCTGAGCAACCTGTCCAGAATCCATGTGTATGCATCGTGAGACTCTGTGCTAGGTTCGGAAGATGCGTTGACAGCCGAGTTGTTAGCCTGGACAAGGACTTCGATACCCTTCAAACGACAGACTGGGGGGAGGGAGTGATTCAGAACGATATCAGTGTAGATCCGGTCCGAGCATTGGGCTCTGACGGTACAGTCCTCAGATGACAAATATTTGTCCCTGGCGTAATCCAGAGTCATGGTCAACTGAGCTTGACTAGCATATTGTGGAAACATTAGGAAGAGCTCATGGATAGTCACTCGATCCGAGGGCGATAGCAAATCCCACAACCTCATGAAATCATGGGACAGCGTTTTGGCCATGGCTTCTCGGTCTCGAAAGTGGCGTTCGTATTGACGATCCCTGTCCTCCTCTTGAGGGTTGATGCGTGGCGAAGTGACCCGAAGGACATTTGCTTGCGGTTGACCTGACGGCGTCATTTTCAGGCAGAGCGTGATAATGTCCACGGCCTTGGTAAAGTCAATGCCAGTAATTTCGGACTTTGGGCGATTGCTTGAGAGAATTCCATGCAAGGAACTGAGGATATCATGGCAAAATCGGAAGATGCCTTGTTCCGCAGCAAAGTATAATTCCTCCAAAAAGCCTCCCAAGGAGAGGATGAAGATACCTCCGCTGTCTTGCTCGTCGATAAGGTTTCGCAAAAGTCGCGTAGCTCCGCGGGCATATGCGAGATTTTTGCCGTTGTTGCTCAGAGTGGGAGTCCTCACAAAGGCGTAGAGTGTGCTGATGAAGTCTTGTTGCAGATCACCAGCAGCCAATATCCGGGCGCAGTCAAACAGGTGGTCAGGGGCCTCTGGCAGGTTTGCAGCAGAAGCACACAAAACCACAAGAGTCTGATGAAGGCCACTTTTCGGATACTCGAAACGGGACATTATGGTGTAAAGGATACTGATGCCTCCATTGATGTCGCTTTGGCGGCTGCTATTGAGGCAGAGAGCAGTGATGGCATCCACAGCGCGGGATAGCTCCAGAGGATCAAAATCCGAGTGACCCAACTTCAGGTAGTCGCAGATGTATTGAAGCAACCAATCAAGGTTTTTCTGCTCTTTAGACGATCCGGATTTCGAGTTCTTGTTCTCCCTTCGAGCCTTCTCTGCCTTGTGCGACCACAGAGGTGCCCATTGGATCAACAAGGATAGTAACGTTGCACCACCTTGATCGCCAGGGTGGTCCTCCCGCAGGTCCAGAAATCTGCGCGAGACTTCTGTGCCTGGTTTGAGATCTCCAAAGCCAACAAGCCAAGAACGTGCCTCTTCTGGCACATCCCCAATTGACGATCCATCCTTAAGGACATCTCTCAAGTTCAGGGGCGTTGCATCAGGTGGCGCTTTCTCGGAACCTCGTCCTCCTTGAACAGCACTGTCGGGGCTAGGAGATGTGTGAGAAGATATCGTCATGTGCCAGAGTGACAACCTCCTAGACTCTCTTGCATTGGGAGGGGCAGAGCCTTCCTGGGGAGCGTCATTTTCCTTCGACATACGACACGAATCCTCCCCTACAGACCATAGTTAGCCAGCTCAGCA